CGAATACGGAATGATGTTAGGTGATAAGAACAAGTTTTTTTTCACCATTCAGAGCTGTATGGGGGCTGAAATTCATTTTGTCATATAGTGTTTTTAAGTTTTAAAAAAGGAAATCCTCTCTCTCTCTCCCCCCACACACACACACAAACAAACACAAACTCACACTATCTATCCCTCAATCTATCTATCTATCTATCTATCTATCTTATGCATTTTCGTCTATTTCTGTTATGTCTCATTTTCCTCCTCCACTTATACGTTTGACAAATTGAATTAATTCTAATTTTTCATGGGAAAAAAATTTTACACTGGCATAATATTCATTTTCAATTGCTTATTAGGAGAGTCGATTTTACAATGTTACAACAAACGACTGGTTAAATTTCCATGGTTATGCACTGATAAATATATGACTACATACTCTACATACATGCACACACACATACTTGACTTGACAGAGTACATTAAATGCTTTATGCTACCATCGAAGATTTTAGCTCGTATAAACCACTGAAATACCACAATCCGCTTACATTAACTTACCAGATGAACCAACATTTGAAGTGACAACTTGACAGTTGCAACCATTAAAGAGGTAAACTACAGTAAACATACATATTGGCATTAGAATGTTGAAGGCAATCGGTCACAGGAAGCGTTACCTGACTGACCTAGGTATCGTGCTAGTTGGCACTCACCAGTCAGTCAGCAAGGCATGTCTGCTCCCTCGAAGGAAATCATGCCGCCGCTGCACCCCCCTCCCATCTGAGACTCGAACCTGCGTCACCCAGTGAGCGCTGCAGTCAAAGATGTTACCACTGAGCTAGCTATTCGGGCTCGCGATTGACCTCCCCTAGGATTCCAACCGTCTAATACCGACAATTCACTGTGCACAATGATGGCTAGCCATCTAGTATGGTGGTGAAATTTCAAGATTGGTAGGTAGTATTCAGTCTGCACCAAACAAAGGACTGCACTACACAGTGGTTAGGACTCTCACCGACCATGCACATGATCCGAGGTTCGATCCCCTGCCGTCGCACACCTGATATCTATGGTCAGCCTGCAAATTTTGGGCTACCGATATCCATGCTGAAAATTCCATACTTGTACCAAAAATATATTGTGGAATCAAGCTGTAATCAAAAATAATAAAATAATATTAAAATAAAGTTAATTGATGGATGGTGACTAGCAGTGGAATCCACCATGTGCATTTTGCCCTATTCGTGACTCGTCAGCTGAGTGTACCTGCATTCCACAATGAATGATGATTTTTCCACCACCGAGGCTCGAACCCAATGCCCATAGTTTCCAACGCCAAAGCGTTATCCATTAGATCAATAGGGCCACTTCCTGTACTGATGAAAATTTTTTATTTAACCACGCCTAACTTGTTTCCAATCTAATCCCATGCCAGCTAACAATACTGGATGTAGAAGACTATGACTCAGCATGTGCAGCATATGTTCTACCCATATCAATCGATAGATGACTTTACCATTTGTAACGCGTTTTAAAACTTGAGAACCTATCACCGTTGGATTGGTAAATCCTGTATTATTTAAACGAAGTGCTGTGAATTAGTATAGGGCCGTTGACCTAACCTTTTATTAAAAATAATGTATTTTTCGGATCAAATTAGTGGATTATATCATAAAGTAGCACACATTATCATGCTGTTTATTGTCTGTGAACAGTAATCGAATTAGTTGGCCATTTAATTGCGAAGCTTTCAGCGTCCACCTTCTAGACAACATCCCCCTTCAGTATAAAATGATACTTATTTAAATTCTTCATGAATGATAACATTTTATCTCCGGGTAACCACCATCATGACTGGTTGTTGATTTATGTCTATATTGATCATCTTTTACTAACTTGAGATTCGAACTTTCTTGCCATGTAAATTTTGTCTATAAATAATATGTGTGTGTGTGTTAATCGCTGATTCCTCTGTGTACCAGGCCTCTAGAAATTCTCTGACTGCATTTTTGATGTTTCGTCTATTTAAAATCTTCTTCTGGCTCTACAATTATATACATGTTTATATACACAGAATATTCAAGGTTGGTAGTTAATAACAATATTGGTGTTTTTTTCAAATAATATCGATTTGTTAAGTAAGATCACAATAAAATTACAGTTCAATAAAGATGCTTGAATTATAATAGTAATAAAGATATAATAGCGAGTAGAATATCAACTAAAATTAGGAAATTTCCACAAAAATTGAGAATCATTCAAACCTAGATGGCCAGTGAGGTAAGGACAGCGTCTGAACTAACTTCTTCTTGTTTTGGACGCACAAATTAGGCTTTTTAATGTGGATCCCAACAGCCAGCCTCAGCAATATTTAGTAATCGAACTCTTAAAGCGGAGTTGAGATTTATCGGTATCTGGTAAATAACTCTAAAAGCCTGGTTAACATAAATCTTATGTTCTGAGGGTGAATTTTCTTGTGGTCTATAATGTTGGCTTGTTGTTAATTAGTGTTATTACTTGACTTTAGAAACGTTTTGATAAAAATTGTGTGTGTGTGTGTGGGGGGGCGAGGGGGGTGATATCCATTCTTTTTTAAGACTGTTAGTAGGTATTTTTTCCTCCATTCTGGCACATTGTGCTTGAACTCTTTTAAACAATGTCTGCACACACTTTCTTTTGTGGGTAATCCGGTTATTATTATTATTATCATAGTTGAGTATTTGGTATGCGTATGTGTGTCTGCGTGTGAACAATAATTCGGACATTCGAAATTATCAGCTAAAATTACCTTTGTTACCTTTGTAGACTTTTCTAAGTGAAAATCATTTTGTTTGCTCTTGTTAAAGTTATCTCTAATCTCTCGTCAATTAAATTTTACTAGACCAAAATGCTTTTGTCTCTGTCGACACTTCGAAAATGCTTTAAGATCTACATCTAAACGACGATGTTGCTTGATTGGTAGTGGTGCAACAACAGAAGACAAGGGCCAGTCAGGCATCAGATCCTTTATTAAGGAAATCAACACATATTTATAGATTTTCATATACATTATTATAGATTATTGTTAGCAGACAAACACAGTCTTCTGATTGGTTGTTCTTCACAGAAAGTTAATATTTCATCTCTTTGTGGCTGTTTCTTAAAGTTCAGATTATCTATATCCTAATTGTATAAGCCTACGCAAAGTTTGCTCGGGTTGGTTGTTGAATCATTCTTTGTTCTTATTTTTCTCACGACCAATAATGGGGACGTAAACATTGACTTAAAATAACTGTCTACCAATTTGGTTGGCAGCCAGCTTTCACCACAGTGGGACTCGTCAACAACTTTGATGTGCCTTTATTCTCCAGTAAATTATGACCTTGATGGTATTAGAGGGTTGGAGGCAATCGGCCAAAGGAAGCCTTGCTTGACCTAGGTTTCGGGCTAGTTGGCACTCACCAGTCAGCAAGGCGTATATGCAACCTTGAAGGAACTCATGTTCCTTCTGAGAAGATTCTAACCCGCGTCACCCAGTGAGTTCTGTAGTCAGAGACGGTACCACTGAGTTATTCAGGGTCGCGATTGACCTCCTGTGGGACTGCACTGGGTAGTTTGACTGGACACTAGTAACTAGTGTAATGTATCTAGTCCTCTCATTGGTGCAGACTGATTTCTGTCAGTCAGGTAGTAATGTGGCCACCATTCTAGGTAGACGACCATCACGGTGCACATTGATTTGACACTAGTGTCAAGTCAAAATATCCACTACAGTCCTACAGAAGGTCAGTCGCGAGGCCGAATAGCTCAGTGGTAACGTCTCTAACTGCAGAACTCACTGGGTGACGCGGGTTCGAATCTCCTCAGAAGGGACATGAGTTCCTTCAAGGTTGCAGATGCGCCTTGCTGACCGGTGAGTGCCAACTAGCACGAAACCTAGGTCAAGCAAGGCTTCCTTTGGCCAATTGCCTCTAACCATCTAATATCATCAAATCAATGTGCATGATGATGGCGAGCTACCTAGAATGATGGCCACATTACAACCTGACTGACAGAATTCAGTCTGCACCAATGAGAGGACTAGAGGCATTACACTAGATACTACTGTCAAATCAGAATTGTTATCTTTCAACTGAAATCCGAACCCAGCACCTATTGTTCCTTATAGGAAAGCATTATCTGTTTGCTAGTCTACTAGGCCACGACAAACACCTGTTGGGCAATGGATTATTAATATTGTTATTTCCTTTAATTCCTAGAGGAACACAGGGCTTCAGCCCCACGTCTCCATTGCGTTCGGTTCTCTGCTAGAGTTTTCACCTGGCTCCTGGCCTGCTCACATCCTTTCATCTCCTCCTCACATGATCTCCTCCAAGTCACCCTTGCACTGACGACCAACTCGCCGCTTCCCTTTTGGGTTCCACTCGAGTAATGGCTTGTCTAGTGATGTTACTTGAAAGTTTCCTCAGAGTATGGCCAGCCAATCCGTCTCCATTTCTTCCAGTCTATTTGTTTCACTATCGGTTCCTGCTGGGTTGGTTCACTCATTGCCAGAGATCCCTATTGCTGATCTTTTCTGGCTGACCATCTGATCTTGACTAGTATTGAGCGAAGACGGCTGTTGGTGAAAGTCTGTAGTTTGTTTGAGGTGCTCTTTATGACACGCCAAGTCTCTGATCCATCCGTATAGTAGCATTGACTTTACATTGGAGCTGAAAATCCGGATGTTATTTTTGATGCTGACGCTGAGTGCTGTTGACCTGCACACAGACTTGAGAGTAATGAAAGCTTATCTTACTTTCCCGATCCTTGCTTTGATATTCTCGTCAGTTAGTTCAAAATCTTGACTTCAACTTTCCAACTGGTTGACTTGCAGAGGACCTCTAAATACCTCTACCTTTGTTGACATATTGGCTCCGAGCATCTTCAATAGTTTATTGTTACTTTATTTATTGATTGATTGCCTCACATGTTACTGCTTTTTCATTGGTTGTTATTTTCATCATCTTTCTTTCTTTCTTGCTTTCTTTCTTCAGATCTATTGATTCATATGCTGAAGACTATGGTAGTGTATATAATAATCGACCGATTGTTGTCATTTTCTATGTTGCTTATATCATTGTGATAGCCTTTTTCATGATTAATATATTTGTCGGTTTTGTTATTGTCACATTTCAACAAGAAGGGGAACAAGAATACCGGAACTGTGAACTAGACAAAAATCAGGTGAGGTACTATTTTACTTTTCTAATTATTTCTTTTTTGAATAAGGCATTAAGAAGACAAATTTCGCCGCGAGATGATGGCATCATTTCATAGTTTCTTTACAACCGCTTTACAACTACTAACATAGTTAACAATAATTAAAATAAAGTTCATGACAATTACTCAGTTAAATAAAAAAAAACAAAAGTACATACTAATGACCAATCACATTTAAATAGGTCATGTAGATCATGGTAGGCGAAGATTGATTTTTTTACCTTCACGTTCCAAGTGGAACACAGGACTTCAATCTAGAAGACTTGAAGTTTCTGTAGCAGTGCTGCTTATTTTTACAGGATGGGGTTGCTAGCCTAATGCCCAACATTCCTTCTTCACCAGTCTGATTACTAGCTTAGCGAGGTAAAGGAATGCGTCGGTGGCCGGGGCTTGAACCCCGGGCCATGAGCATGGTCGGCGAGCGTCCTAACAGCTATGCCACCGACAAACAAGCGAAGATTGAAGTCTATTGTGTTGTTTTTGTACACACAGTTTAGGCTGTATGTGATTAATCCCCCAAAGTGCTTCCATCACCTTCAATAACCAACTTTCAATTAGAGTTATGTGATGAAATAATTGTGAAACAGTCATTAATGTTGATTTTGTGACCTGACATTAATAAGTGCTTTACAATGGATGGATGATGCTGGATTTCTATTCAGATTAATCGCATTGGGATTTTCGATATGATTTAGTGGCCATTTTGGAACATGTTCTTTTCGACGACCACATTGGAACATTCTGTTGGTTCTACCTATATACTGTGTGTCACCGCAGCTGCAGGTGAACTTGTAGATACAGTTTGAAGTAGAGTACACAGAATTTCGTCCTTTAATCGTATGTACAGGGATAGAAAATATTTTTAATGCCTTATTCAAATTTATCAAAGGGACTAATTGTTTTAATATTTCTTTTTTGATGAGTATTCATTTCTTTTGAAATACATAGTTTGTGAAGATGAACGTTTAGATAACTAGTGGCTCAGCTTTGTCATACCCAGATGCTTTGATCTCACTCCCTTTGAAAGGTTTGATCGGAGCTTGTATACATGTCTTTAAAGGATTTTACAAATGCAGCTGCATATATCTTGAGTCAACCAGATGTCCTATTACCAAACTATATACACACACCTGCGTTCTCCTTTCTTCCATCAGACTGAACAATGTTCCCCAGCGTGTTTTACGAGTAGAAGCATGGTACAGCTAATGTACTTAGCTACATATGAGCAGGTGAACTGGCACATGAATGTTGACGAAGTGTCCCAATGCGAGAGCTCGTGTTTCACATGTTGACTGAATACAATCTTGCAAGCAAATGTCACTCTAATAGGCTAGTAGCGAAGTATGCTTTCCTGAGAGATTTCATAAGCCGTCTACGCAGAATTTCTATTTCAGTATCACATTAAAATTGGAGATTGGGCATCCAGCATCTTTTTTGGGGGGAGTCAACTTTGACTATAAATGCATCAGTAAAACACACTCGGAGATACAATAGAGAAGATTTGCAGCTCAGGTGGATGATTTTGATGTGGTTGTGTTCTCTGAGCTGGATAGTCGATTCGCGAAGCTTTTATCACCCTACTAGGTGACATCTTCAGCGCATACTTCAATCTATTGAAGTGAGGTTTTAGATTTCTCCAAGAGTTTATGAATCAACTCTCCTGGTGAGTGAACTTGGACGTGATTGGTTGTTTTTGTGTGTTCTCACATCTTCTGGGTTACTTGTATTGGAACTGATTGTTTCCTTGACTTGAACTTTGACCCTTCACTTCACTCAATTTTGTGCCAACCAAAAGACACAACAGCGAAAGAAGACAAAATCAACATCATCTACAAAATAAATTATAACAACTGCGAAAAACTCTACATTGTCTAAAGTGGACGTCCCCTTCATCTTCGTATCCACGATCATAAGCTAGCCGTCAGAAGACATGATATCCAATCCCTCGCTCATATCACCTCACTGCATAAGGAGAGACAACCACGGACATCAATTCGACTGGGACAACCAGCGTTCAAATATTAGACAGAGGGAACAGCAAGAATGCTAGAGAATGGTTTTACAAGCCAGTCTGGTATTCCAGTGAATCATCAATCAATAAACACATCGAGATAGACAAAATAATATATCAACCGATAAGAAAGAAACCTCACACATACACACAAATGGTCAAAGTTCACGTCAAAGAAACAGTCAGTTCCAATACAAGTAGGTGCCCAGAAGGTGTGAAAACACACAAAAACCACCAATCAAGTCCAAGGTCACCCACCGGCAGAGATGATTAATAAACTCGTAGAGAATTCTGAAAGCTCACTTCAGCGAGTTGAAGTATTCGCTGAAGATGTCGCCTAGTACGGGGCGATGAAAGCTTCAGGAATCGACTATCCAGCTCAGAGGACACAACCACATCAACACTCGGAGATAATACTATCCAACCTGGCCAGCGAAGACAATGCTCATGTATATCCTATATATATATATATATATATATATATATATATTTGGGTAACAGGTCATCTGATGGAGCCAAGACATTCAGCCCCATTTGGAAAGTCATTTAATGTCATGCACAAAATTTGATCAAACCTTTCAAAGGCATCTCGGCATAATGAATACTTATTCAAATTGCATCACCCTTCACAGGTTGCCTTCAACCTTGGTCATACTGTAAACTGAACTGAATTGAACTGATCTCATTTACTTGATGAGGACGACTTGAAGTAGATTTCAGTCTGATTATTTGGTCCTATTTGAGACAAGTCAACTGGATGCATCTGTATCCCCAGTTAGGGGTGGTGTTCACCCAATAAGTCACTATGCGGATATAATTATGAGTGGCAATAATTTATGCTCGAAACCTTGTCATCCAGTTGTTCATACTGCATCATCATCTAAAGTGGAATAGCATTCAAATACTTCATAAACTGATTGATCACATTCGTCTGCGTCTGTTTGGATACGGGCTACAATTATCTGCCTTCTTGGTTTTTAGATATTTTGTAGTCACTGTGATTCTTTCTCTTCATATTTTTAGTCGAAATAAAAAAGCACATGACTTTTATCAGTTTTGACGATGATTTTGAAACTGATATGTAAACATAGATTTTGAGTTTTATAGGGTTTTCTATGGATCTCAGTGCAGATTTCGTCACGAATCAATACATTGCACTAATCAAGGCAGTCTTTTCAAACTCACGTAGCCGTGTAAGGGCTTATGGGGAATTGTTATCTGAATTGATAACAACCAGTGGTGTCCGACAGGGATGTCCACTATCCCCATTCCTGTTTAACTTCACCATAGATATGCTAACGTAAGTATCCTTAACTGAACGTAACGACTTAGGAATCGACTTGTTACCAGAGTATAGTCTTATGGACTTAGAATATGCAGATGACATAGTCCTGTTAGGGGAGGATTCTGACAAAATGCAGAGTCTCCTGAACACTTTGAGCAGCAATCTTCGTATGTTTGGCGTGCGATTCGCCCCTGCAAAATGTAAGATGGTGCTACAGGACTGGACTATGTCAACTCCTAGCTTAGTGATAGGGAGTGAAGTGGTAGAACATGTTGACCAATTCACCTATTTGGGAAGCTGTATCAGCACCAACGGGCTGATGATTGGCGACGAAATCTTAGCATGGATCTTAAAAGCTCGAGCTGGTTTCGCTGACTTACGCCATCTCTGGCGTATGCGTGACATCCGGCTATCAACCAAGGGACGTGTGTATGGCTCAGCAGTTCGCTCCGTCCTTGTCTATGGCTCTGAAACATGGCCTATACGAGTTGAAGACATGAAAAGGTTGGCTTTTTTGTTCATAGATGTCTGCGATCTCTTTCTCACGTTAGGCTGTAGTTTAATAAGCTAAGTAATGTTGACGTTAGGCGTAGAGTGTTGGGCAAAGAGGGAAAATCAATCGACGAGACTATAAAGTTACATAGATTGAGATGGCTAGGTCACGTGGTGCGCATGCCTAACCACTGCCTCCCCCGACGGGCATTACTAGCTGATATAGGTGCAGGTCGGAAAAGAGTAAGTGGTGGCCAAACAAAAACATGGCCTCATCAATCCATGAAATCCTTGACAGTTAAACTGAGTAAGGTAGAGAGATGCAGACTTCCGGGTTGGGGCCCTCGGGACTCTAGAAATCAATGGCTGGAGACAATAGGTGACATGGCTCAAAATCGTTGTCAATGGCCAGCTCAGATGTATTCAGTCTCTGTAATCTTTCATATTCCTTTCTACCATTACCCATTCTGTTTCACTCTTACACTTGTCAAACTCTATTGATTCTCTCCACTCATCTTCTTGTCTACTTTTGTGTGCTATTTGGAACGTGGCAACTCGAACTACTGCCCTTCGGTACCAAGTTCTATGTTGAATCCAGACACACAGAGACATGGGTTAGAGAATGATTAAAAGCCGTGCAACACAGGACAGATGTTTTGTCCTAGTTTGGCGATCTTCAATGGTCTGTTAAGTGTGTATCACATGTTCTAGCCATCTTGAGACTATTCAAGTTCATATCCAGTGACCTTCCATTCTTTATATTATTATTGTTCACTTGGTTTCTGAGTGGGACATAAGGCTTCAACAGCACTTCTCCACTTTGTTCTATTTTCCGGTGTCCTCTTTGGTGGGCTCCATGATTTCCCACAGGCTATCACCTCCTCCATTTCACCGTTAGACCAACGCCCAACTCACCGTTCCCCCTTCGGTTTTCACTCAGGCGATGACTTGGTGCTCGATGTCATTCGACAACCTCCTCAGTGGTGTGTGCCCAATCCATCTGCGTTATCTCTTGCATGTTTCTTCAGCAATCAATTCTTGGTTGGTTTGTTGTCAGTCAGAGTTTCGTGTTGATAATTCTTTCTGGTTAGCTAGCCGGCTGGCCATTTGATCTTCAGTATGGAGTGAGCGAAAGCAGCTGTTGATTGTCTGTCTGTCTGTTTGTTTTCGATATAG